CCCCAAAACCCCAAAACCCCAAAACCCCAAAACCCCATTAAATATATTAGTCACTGAAGTGGAGCTAACATGGGACAAAATTTTCTAAATTTCTTAAGATTAAGTGTATTTAGCGGAAGATTAGCTGGTTTTCTAGCCTCTTCCTCATGGCGAGTTGTAGCATTTGCTTCCTCTTAGCCTATAAATAGTCAGGAATGCTCGTACCTTTAATTTAATTTGACTGATGCCGATAGGCACATTTGCTGCGTCCGTGAGATAGTCTAGAAAAATTAGCTTAACTCTTGGTGAATTGGCCAATAGGGCGACAACTTACTTTCAAATTTAGACTTGCGTTCCTGTGCGAACTCGCATCCGTTATTTCTGGACTATTATCATTGACTCGTGATCGGATTTAGACCTTGGCTTCATTTTAGGCTGTGGTAGATCGTACTATATATCAAAGAATGAGCCATACAGTTATTTTATAACCCTGAAGTTGCACAAAGTGGTATCTAAGGGTTTAATATGTTCGAAAAAGGCATATTACTAGAGCTGGATTGAAAGAATTGTTCTTCTACGAAATCACCATGATGGGAAGGATCACTACTTTACATCAAGAAATTCGATGAAAGACTTGGAGAGGCAATAGTTACCAAAACTGATAGACACTGATGAAAATTGAAAGGAAACACTCTTAAGTTCTGTGGATGGTCAATTTTAGGGATAATAAAGGTTTTAAGCTTGAATGTTCAGACAAAGCTTCCTTTGCCTGAAGGGTTCTAAGAGACAATAATTTAGGAAATGCTCGTTCTTTAAATTATAAATTAAGAATTCCTTGAACAGTTTCCAAGACAAGAGCAAACTTCCTCAAACTCATAATTTCATGGAATTTTAACCAAGAATTTGACGCAGTTAAAAATGATTTGAAAAGCTGTAATTATAGGAAATGAGGCAGATGGATCTCAGCAAACTTCCAATATTGAAAAGAAAACTTGTATTGCACGTATCCTAAAAATAACGTATCCAGGTGAATCGAAGACAAAAAATCCCAAAATTTTCTGCTTCCAACAATAAATTTCTGAAAAAAACCGCTGAAAATTAACTCTGGTGATTGCTCACTGACAAAACTTATCACTTACATCCTCTGTGTTGTCTTCAAGGATAACGTCTGAGAGACAGAGCTGGCCTAATGGGATCTCTGAAGGCTTAATTTTCTTTCGAGATGCAATCATTAAGCCTTTAGGATTATGATACTCTGGTGAGCTATCCTCCAAGAGCCACTGGCATTGACATAAGGTATTTCCCATGCTTGTAACTTTACTAGTTTAGAAATTATATACATCAGCCCTAGACTCTTTATTAGGGGTTTTGGGGTTTTGGGGTTTTGGGGTTTTGGGGTTTTGGGG